ACGAAACCTACCTCTAGCGCATCCAATCACAAGTGACACCACACTGACTATAGATGTACTTATTGGTGCGGATCGGTATTGGGACTACGTAGGAAACCACATTATAAGGGGAACCAGTCCAGTAGCAGTTTCCTCTGCCTTTGGTTATTTACTTTCGGGACCAGTCTATTCAACTAAGAGAAGAGGCCATAATACAAATACATTTCATATTTCCTCGATCAAAACACCAGACCCCGAGCTCGATAAACTCGTCGCCAACTATTGGGACCTCGAAACGGTAGGCATCCATGACACCATCAAAGTAAGCGAAACCAAAGCCACCCATGATGAACAACATCGCCAATTTGTTGATCATTGCTTGTCCAGCAAGGACGGAAGGTATATCGCTAAGTTGCCATGGAGACCAGATCATGATATTTTGGCCGAACAATCTTACAGTCAGCCACCTCACGCACCAGAAATATGATCAACAAATTGCCAAGTGAACTTGTGAAAGTTTACGACACCATCATACAAGATCAACTTAAGCAGGGCTTCATCGAGGAAGTCACCGATGACGATCGAGAAATCGGACACTACCTACCTCATCGATCGGTCTCGAAGGACAGCGAGTCCACTCCGATCAGAATTGTATATGATTGTTCAGCAACTTCAAAACGGGATCAACCCAGTTTAAATCAATGTTTAGTCACCGGACCGCCACTGCACAACTCGCTGACGTCGATACTAATTCGATTTCGCTCAAACCCAATAGCTATGACGGCAGACATTGAGAAGGCATTTCTGCAGATATAGCTGGATGAATCCGACAGAAAATTCACTAAATTTCTGTGTTTAAGCGACCCGGCTGACATTGCTAGTCCCTTCAAGACATACCAATTTAAGGCAATATTGTTCGGCGCAACCAGTTCACCTTTTATTTTAACGCGGCACTGCGACATCTGACCGATTCATACTCCGATAATCCTACTGCAATTAATTTGCAAAAGAATTTATATGTGGACGACGTGGTTACTGGCTGTGATACACCAATGCAAGCTTTGCAGTTTTACGAACAATCCACTGAAATGCTCGCTACACGTAAGTTTAACTTACGATCATGGAGTACAAATGACACCCTCTTAAAGAAAACTACGAAAATCGACGGCCGTTCAAGTGACAAAGAAACAGTCTCAATTCTCGGTATTCTATGGAATTCCAGTTCCGATTATCTTCACGTAAAGAAAATGAAATCTCTCGATTTTGGAAAGTTTACTACCAAACGAGACGTCACCTCTTACAGCGCGAGTTTATACGATCCATTGGGATTGTATTCTCCGGTTCACGTCCGAGCAAAACTACTTATTCAAGCCCTATGGTTAAACAACAGTGATTGGGACCAAGCCATCGATTCTAAATTTCTCCTACAATGGCAAGGCATCGCAGCGGATCTCTATCAAGTAACAAAGAACAGCGAAATTCCACGTAAGTACTTTACAATACAACCTCAGAATGTCGAAATTCATATTTTCGCAGACGCCTCAGAACGTGCTTACGGTGCTTCAGTATACTTGGTCTCTGAACACGAATCTACACTTGTTATCGCGAAGACACGTGTCACTCCCATTGGTAAACAAGCGTTGACATTACCACGACTCGAGTTGATGGGAGCATTGATCGGAACACGGCTTGGCCAGTTTGTATCTGAATCCCTTAAAGACAATTTCAATATTACCAAACGCCTTCTGTGGTCGGACAATCAGATAACACTACACTGGTTGAACGGGCGAGGGAGACAAGATGTCTTTACTAAAAACCGCGTTTTGGAAATCACATCCCACCACCAGGAGTACCGCTACGTACCCACTTCACAGAACCCAGCTGATCTCTTAACCAGGGGAATTTCTCCGCGTCAACTGAGTGATTCTCGTATTTGGTGGTTTGGTCCCGATTGGTTAACTAATAGCGCATTATGGCCGAAATGTGAATTGTTTCCTATCGAAAAAACCGACAGTGTCAATGAGCAATTTGATGCTGCGATACATCATATGTCAACTGTCAGTAAGCCAACTTTGCTGCAAACAGAATTTGGTGACATACTATCCGCTACAAATATGCGTGATACTCCAGTGAATACTGACAATTTTCCGCGCCAAGTTGGATTCAGTATTGACAATATATTTCAAGTCAATAATTATCGCGATCTTCCTCATTTATTACGAATTACGGCTCTTGTACTACGTTTCGTACATAATATTAAAGCCAAGCTAACTCGACGGCCATTGAACATTTCTAGTCGCCATGGAAGCGTACCGACTGCGTCCGAGATTAACGACGCTGAGCACAGGTGGTTGAAAGCTGTTCAACACATTCACTACTCGGACGAAATACTCTATTTACAGCGCCAGGCTAAACAAGTTGGACCACTTTGTAATCAACTCAAGTTATTTCTCGATGATGACGGGATTTTACGAGCAGGAGGCCGACTCCAGAACACATCTCTTCCTTATGATAGTATTCATCCAATTTTACTACCAGAGAAACACGCTTTCACGTCGGCGGTCATACGTGATACCCACCGTCGTTTACAACATGCAGGACCAAATGCAACCGCAACCAGTATACGCGAACGCTACTGGATTATATCCATTCGCCGATATGTGAACATAGAACTCAATAAATGTGTGGTGTGTAAGCGAGTAGATGGGCCAGCCTATTCCAAACCGATCCCCGCTCCACTTCCTACTTTCCGAGTTCAAGAAGCAGACCCCTTTTCCGTGTGCGGTATCGACTATACAGGACATTTATTCGTCAAAGATCCTATCTCAAAATTAGTTGTGAAAACCTATATTTGTCTGTTTACGTGTGCGATAACACGAGCAGTTCACTTGGAGCTTGTGCCAGACTTAACAACAACATCATTTATTCAAGCCCTCAGACGTTTTTCAGCTAGACGTAGTACTCCTAAATTAATTGTTTCGGACAATGCCACTATGTTTGTATCGGCCGCCAATGAACTCAAAACCCTGATGTCCGATCCTGCAGTTCAGCGATACCTGACAAATCACCGAATCAACTGGAAATTTACTCCCAAGCGATCTCCTTGGAATGGGGGATTTTTCGAGCGTATGATAGCCATCACTAAGACTAGCCTAAAGAAAATTCTCGGTCGCGCCTGTGTAACTTATATCGAAATGGAAACGATTGTGACGGAGATCGAGTCAGCAATCAACGATCATCCCCTTACACATCTTTCTAATGACGACAACGATTTAAATTCACTTACGCCCTCCCACCTGGTCAACGGAAGAAATATTTGCTGTTTACCAAGGCAAATAGTCATCAATCCTAACTCCAATTTCGCCACAGATCATCAGTCAGCCAACCGGCGCTATGCGTATTTAACTATTTGATGATTTCGAAACCCAATATGAATATTGATCAACGAGATGAACAAGCCGGAAGAAGGTCACACACAAGCAGTCCCGCCGGGGACGGTGACCAAAGACCACACGCAAGTAGCTCCAATGGGAGCGGTGGTGAATCCATCCAGCCACGACGATCGAAAAGGGCGACGGCTCGCATAGCTGAACGAAGAATTGAAAATTTGACCCAGCGTGATCTTGTGTGACATTAATAATAATAACTTTTATTTCATAATCGACTTTATGATGTACTTTCGTTCAAACTGCTTTGTATGTAAACTATATATTTGCGTTATTCATGCACATTGTCATTATCTTTATCGCTTTATTATCACGGAAATGAAACGTGTCTTATTCGAAAATTATGCTAAACGCATCTTTCGCGGCGGGAGTATGTCGGGGATGGGTTCGAATGATCATTTATTTCCATTCAATATTGCTTTAGTTACATTTATTGCGTGTTACGCGACTCTTCGTTTACGAGTACATTAATATTTCGTGCGTCCGTGTTGGCGCCTGAGCGTTGTTACATTGTTTAAAATTTCTAGTTGGTCGCGTGCGGCACTCTCTCTCTTTTCTGACTCATCTTAAGCAGTGTATTTTGACGTGTACGTTTCACCGTTGAATAAAGATCCATTGACAATAGATCTGCTTCCTATCTATTTCGGGAAACCATCAAGTGTTTTGTGGGACACACTCAAGCTTATATATTTTCTCAACCACAACAATTATAAATGCGTCTATAAAACAAATCAATCTAGCACAATCGTTTCTTAAATGCAAATAATGACGATATACAATTTATTTTGCTCGTTCCTTATTGAAGACATTACTTTTGGTGAGAAAAATATGAAGGACTAAGAAAACACATAATAATGAAAGGAAATCATGGATCATGGGTGAATCTAGACAACAACTTTTTAATTCGCACTATCCTCTTTCTTTACATGATACAGGCATTTAGCCCAGTGTACTTGTTCGTTGTTTCGATGCTATCCCCGATCAGCTAGGACACGAGAAAGATTAAGATTTTGACATGAACACGAACGTCTGGCATTTTTGCTCGCTTGAGACTTATATATTTGAATTTAAGTAAAAAAATTGGA